TGAAATATATATATATATATATATGAAAAAAAGCGAGATAACATATCCATGATAAACTTAATATTCAAATTTTAAGTCATGAATAATTCTCATTCAGAAGTCTCAAGTGATCGAAATTTGTTCCATCCGTTACGAAGGAATGAAAACGTACGAGCAATACGGTAACCCAGTGGTAAAAAATGGCAAAATATCAGCGTTAACTTACCACTATTGAAGGAGTAGTAAACCTCTTTGACCAATCCAAGAGACAAAGTGAGAATGAATTCCATATCTATTCCACTGCAGGCAGCTTCAATCTCACTAAACAACACACAATCATATCCTGGCAAATCTGAAGTTTTTGTTCTTATTTTACTAGACTCCAATCGTTTAAGTAACACAGTGTAGCATCAAATGTTGATCACGATGAAAACATATCTCAGGCTATAAAATAAAGAGAAAACCCATTTAACTGCAACAGCTACCCCTACCTGATTAGTCATGCGGCATGTTGTTATTGGAGGGACGTGCAAAGAATGAACGATTAGTGACAAGCAGCGGATGACATGCAACGTTCCTTCAGGGTTCGTTATCATTTGCATCAGTGTTTGCGCTTGTGTTCCTTTACATCTTGAACAAAGTTTCCAATTTGTTCATTTCTATCAGATATATTTGCTTTTCAAGGAAAAATTCTTTTAGTTAAAAAAAAAAAAAAAAAAGAATTCGAGGCAGTGTTTTTTTAATCGGAAGTCGCATTTGTTCATGTTATGTCTTAAAGACCTCAGTTTAAACACCTGTTCTCGTTCACGAACTTGATTTTAGCTGATTTTACAACATTCAAAAACGTAAAATACAAACACTGTATAGGTTCGCACGGGTCTTTATCGGTTACTTATTTAATGTTGGGCGCCACATGAACGTCGTTTGCTTGGGGAAAGCTGAATATCATACCAATCTCGAAAATATTCCCACACAAAGTAAAAATGTCGGCTGATCATTATTTCTATGAAGTTGGAAGCATGTAAGTAAGTTTCGGTGGTAACTTTTCACCCCTTAAGTTAATCTGGTTTCCTAGACTGGTTTCCCTTCGGTCACTTTGTTGCCATCTGTAACTCATAAATGCTTAGTAATCTAAAGCCTGAAATTCATTCCTAAAACAAGTGATTGATAATCCTATTCACACCATATGTTCACCTTGATGCCTTTTTATTGTCATGAACAAATAAATCCACTAGCACTAGGAATAATAATATGGATAATACCTGTTTGAATCAGATCCATAAATTCTCTAAGTTTATAATGGTATACATTCTACTTACATTCTTACCTATTTCTGATAGCATGCTATTTCACCTTTTTGCATATTTACCTAACACTAATTCTTTAATTAGGCATGGTATCGTGTATGGAAACTTTACGAAAACTTGCTATTTCCCTTTGTTTTCGAAATTGCAAATAAGTGTTTTACTTACTAAAGGCAAAATATAATTTGTAAACTATTCATGTATCATCTAGGTTATTTAAATATCGACCCTAGTAACGACGAACTAGGAAAAACGCCCTTCTTGGGACTTTAAAATGGATGCATCAAAATACTTTTAAACGTTTGCGAGCAAATGCCCTTCCAAAATTCAAAACAAACACTTGACCCCGTAAAACTCGGTTTGTGGTCTATGCATCATGCACTTAACAGCATGCACAAGCGTAATATGTAAGTTAAGGACCATTAAGTTCTGTAAACCCAGAACAATGGCAAATATCACACAGAGCCAATAAGAACTCAAAGCTACATGTGACGAAGTTGTGACTGATTTTAGTTTAACATGTTTCGTTTGGATAGCAAGTTTTGCAATTCAACCAAAGCATTGAAGTAAACGAAAGCTTACCCAAAGGACTAACGCTAACAATGGGAATATAACCCAACGAAGGCTTCGACATGTTATGCTTAATTTAGGAACTTCAGCAATTGCTGAAATATTACGTTACTTTTAAGTATAAATAAATATCTAAATGATACACCTAGAAAAGCAGCACTAAAATTTCACTTATCTTAAAATTGTGTCCTCTGACGACAACTCTAAAGTTAAGTAATACAAATTAAAAAATGTTGCGTTTTGGAGTCAGATTTAACTCCCGCTTCTGGTATCCATGTCGAAATTTTCTCTTATTTCTTGAACATGATAGTTCATGTATCTAGTCTTAAGTTAAACTGATATTTACTGGGACTCAAAAAGCTTCTCCATCTTCACTGGCGGCTTCCTCAGGATCAGCTTCAAGTTTCTCCGCTTCGACTGGGATTTCTTTAGGCTCGTCTCCTAAGTAGAAAGAAATTGGAAAAGTTTACCTTCTACGAAATCATTTCAGGCGTAAGCTGGTTTATGAAATCTAAAAACTATTAGCAAGTTTCTTGGCAAGAAATCACAAGGAATACTGCTATTACGCCTCGAAAGCTTGCTTATCAATCCAGCATTTTTTTTTTTTTCAAATTCAAAAAAAGGCAAAACTTACGAAACAAAATGTTTTGTTTCCATACTACAGCTAACATTTCCTCATAAAGGGCTGATAACAAACCATTTGGGTACCATTTCCAAAGCTATGGAATTATTTTTATGGTTAACGCTTAAAAACCGCCTCTTCCTTCTTTATGTACCGTTTTGTAATTGTAATCTTAGGTACCTGAGATTACTCTGCCTCCTTTCTCTAGGTTCCCCTTGACAAAATCTTTATTTTGTCGAGGAAAGAAAATAGACTGTTTTAATAATACAGCTCAGCCTTTCCTGAGAGGCAACAAAACTCTGACGGGAGCGGGGTTGCCAAACCTTTTTCTTGTCTAGAAGGTTAACCTCCGTAAGTGACACACTATTAGAATTAACGACCTAAACATAATCATCTTTCAGTTTTTAGAACAAATAAGATCGAAAAAAATTGGACTCGGCAAGACCAATAGTGACGAAAAAGCATGGGAAAAAATTTGATAAAACTACTACCGATGTTGCCAAAAAATTATAGGGAGATTATTCAGCTTGAACATAACATATGATGAGAAGTTGAATTTACTTACGTGGACTGAGGCCGTCACAAATAGATGGGTAGGGCGGCTTACTTAAATCGTCAACTCCAGAAATCAGAAACGGTTCTGCAACCTCCACAAAGACGCCATCTGCAACATCTTCAGTATCTTCCACGTGACTCAGTTCCAGTGCAGTAGTAGGTATAAGTAGCGTAAGATTTTCTACGCAATTCAGCTTGAGGTTCAAAGGTTTCCCAAGCTTAGTGAAGACTGAAATAGCTTCATTTTCAACTTTAGTGAGTCGCGATAGCTCCTTGGGTGTACAGTCTTCGTAATTTCCTTCTGCTAAAATGTAGGCGTTAGGAAAGGCATCTTCAACGCCCCGGTGAAGACCATCGGCACAGCGGAGGGCCAAGATACTCTCCAGAAAAACTTCGAGATAATTCGTCCACAGTTGAAAACGTTTATCCACCCTGGATCCCTCTTCAGATATATCCCATTGGCAACTCTCTTCGGCTAATATTTTGGAGTAGTTAGGAGCGGAATCTTCAACGCCTCTGTGAGCACCATCAACAGGGCTGAGGTCTGACAAAACCTTATCCGCATCCTGCAACTATAGGCATCATTCAATTAGTAAATACCTCGCCGTATTTGAGGTGTACAATTTTATAACAAACTTTTTAAATGTAGAAAATCAGGCAAGATTTTTGCAAAAAACAAACAAAACAACAATAACAACAGCAATATCAACAAAAACAACAAAAAGAAAATGAACAAATCAAAAGTTACTCCAAAGATATTGTACTATGTAACGTTCAGGATCGTTCAAAGCCCGTGGCCCGTGTTCAAGTATCGAGAAACTGGTGCTGTTATTTTAAAAAATTGAATCTACGATCAATTCTGCTCTACGAAATTAAAAGTACTTCACTGGGTGAATAGTTCGAATATTTCACAACCTCCATCTTGGGATTAGAAGTTCTTAGACGGCGAGGTATTCCAAATCGAGGTAAAACAATCAAAAAAAGCCTGCTCACCTGTCGCGGACGTTTCGTGTTCCCTTGAAAGACAAATCCGTCCCCTACTTGAACGTACTTGACAACTGAACCAATTTGAACACTTTCAGCTTTCACTTCTACTTCATCCCAAGTATCTTTGAGATCTTTCGTCGCCAGTTGAAAAGCTTGACCCAAACGGGATCCTTCATTGATCTCCCTGCCATAAATAGTGCTAGCGGCAACACTGGGGTGAGTTTTTTCTATTTCAACAACTACGTAATGACCTCGTTTGGCATTGCCTACAGCTGTTAATGTCCCTCTGTCCATACGTTTGCTGGTAGGTTTAAAGTCATGACGGGTTTTGGAATGATCACCAGGTGATTCATCCATGATGCAAGGCTTAAACTGTTCCCACCTCGGACTGAGACGCAAATAGTTGAAGCCAATCTCTGTTAGAGTCATCAACATCTTTCTTGACCGTTTAGGCAAACTTGCTGTCTTCTTGTCTCTCAGCTATGAGAATGGAAAAAGGTACACTTAAGAATTCAAGAAGCGAGGTCACGGTGTAAATATATTTCATCGTTTTTTAGCCATGGTTGTATGGATAAGACTTTGCAGCCTTTCCAAAAAGGGAAGGAAGTTCAAGTAGGGTAAGGTAAAGAGGAAAAGGGCGGGAAAGGTGAAAAACGCGAATGAGAAAACGAAGGAAACTACAGCATTAACCCTTATTGGAGAGACGATTTTCCGTTTTATCACATGCGTGAAAAAAAGAAAAGTTCCAATGAGGTGTCGCACCTCAGAATTTTTCGTTTATTTTTCTATGTTCCACGTTCGCTACAAGACGAAAATCATCTTTCCCCTTTCACTTATGAGCTTAAAAATTCACAACACGTATTTGCTAAATGTTTTCTAGTTCAAAGTATTTTTTCTGTTTTGTTCTCCTGGATTTTTTTTCAGTCAAGTATGAGCTACCAGACATAAACTTAAATTGTGATACTGTCTTAGTTCAAGTTGGACGCAATACATCTTTGATTGTTTTGTTGTACAGCAAGTATTTTAAACACGTCATTAATATTTTTATCCATTAATCACACACATCCTACACCACGTGTAACCTGTAGATGAATTCAAAGTGAATTCAAGTCGACTCGCATCACCCCACTATTGCTGCTGATTTTTTAAATTATTGAATGAAAATGTTTTCAGGAAAAAACCTTTATGACTTCCAAACATAACTGTACATCTACATCTCTTTCATGAGACAATTTAGTATCGTAAAATCGGAATATAAAAGGAAAATGATAAAATTATCATTCGATGCACCAAAGCTACACATTATTATTCTTAGTATGTAACCCTCTTAGCACTATGCCCAGGCTTAGCACAACGAATAAACACTGCCACCAAATTTTTAACATGTACCAGTTAAAAAATATATACATTACTGTAAAGTGGGGAAAACACGTTTTCACCATGGTGAGGTAAATATTTTGGAACAAAATATTTACCTCACCATGGTGCGTATAGAAAAAGAAAAGTAAATGAATGCGGTCAAATGTCCCCATGAGCAAACTGCAGGTCTTCGTGCCAAGGGAATACCAGGTGTATTTTGTTCCCAGAATTTTTGTTACTAAGCAAAAAGTGCACCTTAACTGAAAAAACAAAAATTACGATAACCCTCATGATAGACTGAGCTTTCCACATGTCTTTCCAAGAAAAGCAGTAACAACAATCTTTACACACCATGACAAAAACATGTTGAGAAGTACAGCACTGAGTTTAAAAGACATGCCACAGAACTATGAACTGCTATAGAAGATCTGATTTAGAACTTTGACTAAACTTTACATAAAAAATACAATTATAATCTAACTGAGCTTAATACGTACCACAACGAAACAGACGTGGAGATGTTGAGATTCCTGGGAAAAAAAACGACTCAATTAGAAAACAAAAAATAAAGCTCAACCTCTCCTATTACATCACATGGTAAATGTTGCTCGTGGAGTCATCACAAAACACAAAGGAAAGTCAGTCCGCACAGTCTTCACCAATTTGTATCAAGAGTCTCACTCGTTCGCTTCGCTCACTTGTTCAATTACCGATAGTACCAACTTGTGAGTAAATGCTGACTTTACATGATGTATTCTTTACATATGGCACCTAAATTAAATATGACCACCGAGTAAAAACCAAGTTGATTTTGGTCTGTCCAGTATTAGATGAAAGATGACGTCTAAATGTGGTGAGAACCAAACAGTTGTACACGAGTGATCGAAATTTCTGTGATCTATCACTCAACAGACCCACGACAATTAAGAATCTACTTAACAGAGACGCAAAATGTTGTTAATGGCAACGTCATCTAATGTCGAATCGCTTCCTGGAATAATGTCACAAGCAAACGCGCCCTGCTCCACCCTATTCGGTCAAGAACACCAAGGAAGCCAACTTTGGGATCCTTAAAAATCAATAACAAAAATAAGACTACAAGCGGTCCTTCCCTTTCGACTAAGTCCGTTGTGCGAGTAAAAATAAATTCAGTGAAAAACAATTAGCGCCACCGTGCTGCGCGAACTATTGCAGCGACGCCGATACGCCGCGGGAGCTCCATGAGTGAGCGCTATCTGATTCTTCGAGCAATAAACCTAATACGAATGATGATCCTACCTCCCCAATTAATTTTCTGACTGTAACTTTAATAAACGATTCAAGAATGGGGAATCTGGTGCACGCGCCTCATAAACGCAAGACATACATATATTTTGCGCTTCTAAACAATGTAGCCCCTCTTTGAAAAATGCTTCGGTCTCGAAATATTTTCTGGCCGTGTTTGCCTTGCTTCTATCCAAGTTAACCAGTGGCTCGCAAGCATCTCCTCTCACGACTGGGGTGACACTGTAACGTGCCCCCTCAGACCTCTCTCAACTCGTCTCAACCCGTCTCAACTCTTCCCGCGGCAGAGAAACGCTTGACCTGCAGCGCTCATAAAACAGGGTTAAAGGGACTGATGACTTCCGAATGCTCTCCGGTGTATCAGAATAGGAAAAACATTGGGCTTTAAGAGTCATCCTGACTTCACAACAGGATGCCTACGATTTAATATTAAATTTCCTTAACTTGAAGTCAATGCAACAGTTCTCTACCTACGGTAAACTAACACTCGAAACCTTGACAAAACTCCATTCACATAGACAACTGAGGAGTATCGCCTTGTACTACAGTTCACTAACTAGTACATTATGTGTATTAATAATTCCAGGTGGATAGAGGTGCCGCAAATGGAACAACGTTGTGACCCTGATGACAGGGCTTCTGTCTAAGCCACATTAACCACAATTCCAGACACTTTGCGTGTAGCATCCAACTAACATATGTTAACGCATGTGAAATATCATTCACAGTAAATATAATAAAACCTACTAATAGTTTACTACTTGGAAAATAATCTTCATTAGCCCCATGATTGAAACAACACAATGACCCCAAATCTCTTTTGAAGCTAACTACAAATGATAATCTGAACAACATCTTCGTGAATTCAAGAATGCATTCATCTGAACAACAACTATCTTGAAGAGAGACAACGCGATGAGTAGATATATGAAAATGCATTTCCCAAAAAGAAAAGTAAATGAATGCGGTCAAATGTCCCCATGAGCAAACTGCAGGTCTTCGTGGCAAGGGAATACCAGGAGTATTTTGTTCCCAGAATTTTTGTTACTAAGCAAATAGTGTACCTTAACTGAAAAAAGAAATTACGATAACCCTCATGATAGACTGAGCTTTCCACATGTCTTTCCAAGAAAAGCAGTAACAACAATCTTTACACACCATGACAA